ATGTGGGTTCCCTGTGTAGGGCACTCTTTTGAGATGAAGTCGTGGAACTTGGTTGTCCCTTTACTCCATCGGTCCTTCTCAAGTGGCCACGAAGAAGGCTGGGTCAGGCTGTAAACCTGCAATTCCCCCAGAGGTTGCTGGAGTCCCCCGAGATGGTCTAATGTCCATTGGACAGTTATGAACCTCCTGCAAAAGGCAAATGTTGTTCGTCTAGAAACACCATCCTTACCTCTTTCCTCAGAGCTCCCCAGGGACGTCCAGGCCCAGGACACTAACCCCTACACATGCACCTTCTTCCTCTCTCTTCCATGACCCCCCACCCCACCAGGCGAGGCTAAAGCTGAAGAATGCCGCTCTCCCAACATTGTAAGATTCTGTCCCAGGAGACCCTGGCTGACGGAGCAGAGCCCAACATGCAGAGGACAAAGCCATGGCCAAGCATTCTGGACAGAGCCGCCTCTGACGGGTCGGTGGAGGGTATTTTATCAGGAGTGGGGAGCAGCTAACAGATGCATAGGCACACACACACACACACACACACCAAGCATTCTGGACGGAGCCGCCTCTGACGGGTCGGTGGAGGGTATTTTATCAGGAGCGGGGAGCAGCTAACAGATGCATAGGCACACACACACACACACACACACACACACACACACACACCCCTCACTCCCGTACTTATGCTGTCCAGGCAACTACTGTCTCTCAGCACCTTCCCGAGAGGCAACCTGGTCTCCTGTGCTCATCCCACGATCCTTCCTGAGCACCAGACCCAGTTCCCCGTCTTCAGAGCTTAGTGGAAAGAGGAAACAGCCACATTCCTCCAATATTTCATTCATTCGGGCAACAAGTGTTTTCCAAACATGTCCTGGGAGAGAAGTGTTCCTCCCAAAGCCCATTGTTACATTTCCTTGGGGTCAAGTCCCATTTTGTGCAGCATGGCGTGGGGAGGGGGATCACATGCCATTCCTGGCATTCCTCTCCACTGCCTCCCACGGACGGCAGGTGAGACCTGGGAATGGCCCTCCTGCAGTGGGTTCTTGCCATTCCCAGCTGTTGTGCAGGCCAAGAATAACTGGTGAGGCCAAGCACCCAGCCCAGGCTTAACCAAGGACACCCTCCCAGTCCGTGCACCCTCACAACCTCCTTCATTCCTTGGAGACAAAACGCTCAGGGGCCACCTGAAAGGGGAGAAGGACCGAGAGCCCACAACCACGCCTTTTTTAGGACCTGCCCTTGGCCTTCCTCAGAGGCAGAGAAGCCACAGCACGGAGGGGCCGGACCTGCAGGCCGGTTGGCTGTGTTCCCTGAACTCCCTCCTGACATATATCTGAGATCCTCAAGCTGTAGCAATCGTTCCCATTACCTTATAAGTGGGCTTCTGTAGCATGGAAATCTCCACCCAGCCCATTTATTTTTAAATATGTTTTTATTGGTTTCAGAAAGGAGGGAGATGGGGAGAGAGAGAAACATCAGTGATGAGATACACTCATGGATCAGCCACCCAACACTGGGGAGCCAGCACCCTGGTCTGTGCCCCGATGGGAAACTGCACCGTGACCCCTGCTTCCTAGCCACACCCGCACTGCCCCTGAAGCCTCTGCCCAGGCCGCCGCCACCTGCCCCTGAACCCTCTGCCCAGGGAAAAGGACAGGAGGGTGGCCTGGGCTTCCCCTGCCTTAGGTGTCACCCTCACCCTGCTCCCCTAACCACAGGCCTCCTATCAACCGAAGCCTTGAGCTGACTCGGGGGCTCGCTCCCTCCTGTCTGCCCTGCTCCACATCTGCAGGGGCAGCACGAGCTGACGCCAGCCAGTGGCTGAGCCCACGTCCAGGCTGAGTCCAGAGACTCCCCGGAGTGACTCAGAGGTGTCTGGCCTTGGACAGCTTCCACGTCTCCACCCCCCATGGGTGGGGGATCTCCAGAGCACCAGGCCCCACATGCCTGGAGATAACCTCTTCCTACTCCTTTGATCCAGGAGCAGGAGCCATGGTCTATTAAGAGAGAGTGATGTCCCGGGAAAATAGTGCTGTGAGGGCCAAACAGCGATGCACGTCACTGAGTGTCAGTGCGGGTGCTGCCGAGGCTGCCAGTCCACTGCAAGTGATGGAGGAAGCACCACACTCCTGATTTTTGCAGGAAGACAAAACCATACTTTCTTCATTGTCCGGGACTGTGGAGGGAGGTAAGTGAGCGCTGACACCACACTCAAGACTTCATCGTCTCACATGTATTGAGTCTACAGGGGAGATAAGACTTGCCCACAGCCTTGAGACTCGAGATGAACTGCGCTGTGAGACATGATGCTAGCAAGCCAGACTTTTCCAAAGGAAGGGGCAGCCACCTGTGGATGAGGGGTAGGCGAGGGCTTTCACACTGAAGTGCTGGCCCTGAGCGCTGTTCCTGGGGTGAGGGCCTGGCCTGCAGTCACCTGGGACTGACCTCATTTCTCTCTCACAAGCTCGAGGAGACACATTCCTCTCTCTTCCTCAAGAGTATGCAATGCAAGCTGGACACCACACACACACACACACACACACACACACACACACACACACGCGTGCGCGCGCACGCTCTCTCAACAGCAGGAACTGAGGCCAACTCTTTGGAGACAGCATTCTGCCTTGATGAAGGGCTGTGGGCGTTTTCCTGTCACGTTTGTCTTGTTTTTGGAAGCAGTTTTGTTCCTAAGGGGCCGGCCTGTTGGGGAACGGGTGGGACCTGGGCGCCTGGGAGGGGGATGAAATAGGAATGAGCAGAGCCGTGTGGAGGGCAGAGGAGAGAGGGTTGGACTCAAGGGAACCCAGAGAGTCTTGAAAAGGATGCCAGGCCTGGAATTGTTCCCCGGCTCTGCCCCTCTTTTCCCCGTTGTTAACGTAAGAAACATTCAAATACTCAAAATATATTTTTAAGAATTTATCTGCGTAAAAGTGAAGACAATTACCAAAGATCTCTGAGAATGCTTCTGCAGGCCTTTTTGCTTTTGCCAGACGAGGGCTGGATTACAAGGTGGTTAACAAGATTATGTGCTCCATTGATTGCCGGTGCTTCTGCTTCATTTTTTTTTTCTTCTTCTTCTTTTTATTTTTTTAGTTACGACTTTTCAAAAAGGTGTATTAACCTAGAGGAGGAGGAGGAGAAGGAGAGCCCTAGCTGATTTGGCTAAATGGATAGAGGATCAGCCTGCAGACTGAAAGGTCCCAGGTTTTATTCCGGTCAAGGGCACAGGCCCTGGTTGTGGACTTGATACCCAGTGGGGGGCTTGCAGGAGGCAGCCGATCCATGATTCTCTCATCATTGATATTTTCTATCTCTCTCTCCTTCTTTCTTCTCTGAAATCAATAAAAAATATATTTTTTTAAAAGGGGAACAGCCGAAACACATGTGGCTCCGTGCATAGTGCATCGCCCTGCGGACTCAAGAGTTCCAGGTTCAATTCTGGTCAAGGGCATGTACCTTGGTTGCGGGCACATCCCCAGTTGGGGGGTGTGCAAGAGGCAGCTGATCGATGATTCTCTCTCATCGATGTTTCTAACTCTCTATCCCTCTCTCTTCCTCTCTGTAAAAACTCAAATATATATATATATATATATATATATATATATATTTTTTTTTTTTTTTAAGTGGAACAATGGACAGGGTTTGGTTAAGGATAAGATAAGCTCTTAGTCGTAGAGAAGTTGTACGCCGGGCTTCAGTCGACCTGAGCCTATGAGGTAATTTAGAGTGAAAACTGGGTGTTTCCTAACTCTGCATCCCATTATGAAAAGCTCTGCGTGCCTGCTGCTCTGTAAGAGCCAAAATTGGAGATCAAAGGAAGTCCATCCCCGGTGACCCAAATGGGCAAAGACCAGTGGCCATCGGCGGTCAGTGTGACCACCATCTGGGCACAGAACCAGCCAGAGGCCTCAAACCGGGGAGCAATGACCCTTCAGTATTCACAGACGGTGACTCGAACCCACTCACCGTCCAGACGAGGACGTGCTCGGGTTTGCAGGGAGCAGAAGGGAGACGAGGAGACTCGCGTGAGGCTGGGAGGCTCGTGTGGCGAACTCTGATGAGGACCGAATGTTCTTGTGCAAGAAAAGGCCTTGGCGGAGAGGCCCTGACCCATGCCGGCACGGGCTGTTCTGAACTTTTCACTCACTGCCTATTAATTATGTCAGAGCCGGCAAGGATGGCCTGCCCCGGAGCTTTGGCCAAGCTGGTGCCCGCAAACAGGGCCAGGCCACGCGCAGCCTCACTCAGAAGGTTGGGTCTTCTGAGAGGGATGAGGGCCAAGAGGGACGGAGACCGAGTGACGTCGCTGGGCCGGCCTCGACAGGCCCTGGAAAGGGGAGCAGCGGCTGTGGAGATGAGGGGGGCCTGCTCCTGGGGAGGCAGGAGCCGGTCTGCTCCCTGGTGCTCCCACAGCCTCTCCAGCTCCTTCCGGGACGTTCCGACTTTTCTGGCTTTTCTTTCGGAGCCAGCATGTCCGTTGGTGAAAGGCATCGGCTCTCTTCTCGGGCTGAGCTGCGGGCACAGCCTGGGGAGAGGACCGCGGAGGGGAGGAGTAGGATGCTGCTGGCTCGCTGGAACACACTGGGCAGCCTTGTTTGGGGCGCGGGGAGTTACACAACAGTTTCCACCTGGCTGAGAGCCTGGACAAATTAGAGGCTGCCAGGAAAGCCTGGTCATGCTGCTGGGGGAGCGGGGGCTGGTCGCAGAGGCCGGGGGTGGAGGCTGGAAATGAGGCTGAGCTGCGGGAACCCCCTCACCCTGTTGACTTTGGCTGGCAGGTGCCTCAGGAAGTCCTGGCCCGGGTTTTCAAAACTGCAGGTTTCTCAATCCCCCTGGGGCCGACGGTGCTCCTCCCCACCACTCCCCAGCCTGCTGGTTCCTTCACTGCCAGTCAGTTCCCATAAATGGGATGGTTTGGGGCCCAGGGAGGTGGAGGGGACAGGTATAAAAGGAAGTATGAGGCCCCAGCTGGGCACAGGAGCACAGCAAGAGGCCACAGCATGCCGCTCTCTGCTGCAACCAGGACGGGGCTGAGGGTGGCTCAGACAGGTCTCTGGGCTGACCACGGGTGTGGGTTGTGGGTGTTCAGGCTGAAGGGCCCAGACAGCCTGCAGAGCCACTGCACGGAGATGCCTGGACCTGCTGTGGGGAGGGCAGAGGCAGTGGAAGGAGAGGAAGCAGAGCTGGGGGGGGGGGGTGGAGAGGAGGAAGTGGAGAGGGCAAGGAGGAGAGGAGGAAGGGCAGGTACGTTTGCAGGGTCTGACCCTGGATCTCCCACAGGCTTTGTGGTCCTGCTGGTGGTGCAGAGCTGTAAGTAACCCCCTCGGTACTGGGAGGCGGGGGTGGTGAGGGGAGTGGCGAGGAAGGACTGGCAGATTAACGTTTGTTAAATGGAGGTGATGGCTATCTCGGTGTTTATTTTACTAGTGTCTACTTTTCTGTATATTTGAACTTTTTCAAAATACAAATATTTCAAAGGCTCGGGTTCAGTAAGGCCTGGGGGAGCCCAGGGTGGCGTGGCTGGGAGATGCCCGCTGTCCTGCCTCCTGGGCCAGGAGGGCAGAAACACTTCCTTGGCAGCAAGAGGACTTGGGACCCTGCCCTGGGCCCAGATTGGGGGACGGGCTGAGGAGCCAGGGGGCCCACAAGCCAGGACGCCCAGGGGAAGGCAGAGAAGAGGCGGCCAGAGCCTCTTAGGTCAAGGACCCCCTCAGCACCTGCCAGGTCCACCCCAGAGGCCAGGGTCTCCCCCAGGAACCTTCCGACCTCACTCCTCTTTCTCAGCCCGGGGGCTCCCAGAGGCAGAGGCGGGGAGCCGCCCCTTCATTCACATCCTAACTTGGCTCAGAACTCTGCCCTGAGGGCTGCGCTCGGCTCAGCAAGGGGTCCCTGGTGGAACCCTGGCCCCGGCCCCACCCGGCGTTTCCGCAGGTGCTGCCTACAAGCTGGTCTGCTACTACACCAGCTGGTCCCAGTACCGAGAGGGCGCCGCGAGCTGCTTCCCGGACGCCATAGACCCGTTCCTCTGCACCCACGTCATCTACAGCTTCGCCAACGTCAGCAACGACGAGATCGACACCTGGGAGTGGAACGACGTGACGCTGTACGACACGCTGAACGCGCTCAAGACCAGGTGGGGCCGGGCGGGGCAGGGAGGATGGAGGAAGGAGGATGGAGGAGGGAGGATGGAGGATGGAGGGTGGAAGATGGAGGGTGGAGGGTGGAGGAGGGAGGATGGAGGATGGAGGATGGAGGATGGAAGGTGGAGGGTGGAGGGTGGAGGAGGGAGGATGGAGGATGGAGGATGGAGGGTGGAGGGTGGAAGATGGAGGAGGGAGGATGGAGGATGGAAGGTGGAGGGTGGAGGATGGAGGAGGGAGGATGGAGGATGGAGGAGGGAGGATGGAGGATGGAAGGTGGAGGGTGGAGGATGGAGGATGGAGGGTGGAGGATGGAAGGTGGAGGGTGGAGAGTGGAGGAGGGAGGATGGAGGATGGAGGGTGGAGGATGGAGGGTGGAAGATGGAGGAGGGAGGATGGAGGATGGAAGGTGGAGGGTGGAGGATAGAGGAGGGAGGATGGAGGATGGAGGAGGGAGGATGGAGGATGGAGGGTGGAGGATGGAAGGTGGAGGGTGGAGGAGGGAGGAGGGAGGATGGAGGATGGAGGATGGAAGGTGGAGAGCGGAGGGTGGAGGAGGGAGGATGGAGGATGGAGGATGGAGGATGGAGGATGGAGGGTGGAGGATGGAGGATGGAGGGTGGAGGAGGGAGGATGGAGGATGGAGGATGGAGGATGGAGGGTGGAGGATGGAGGATGGAGGGTGGAGGAGGGAGGATGGAGGAGGGAGGATGGAGGGTGGAAGATGGAGGAGGGAGGGGGGAGAATGGAGGGTAGAGAATGGAGGATGGAGGAGGGAGGATGGAGGATGGAGGATGGAGGATGGAAGGTGGAGGGTGGAGGGTGGAGGAGGGAGGATGGAGGATGGAGGATGGAGGGTGGAGGATGGAGGAGGGAGGATGGAGGATGGAGGATGGAAGGTGGAGGGTGGAGGATGGAGGAGGGAGGATGGAGGAAGGAGGATGGAGGATGGAGGGTGGAGGGTGGAGTGCGGCTGGCCCAGGGCACGGCCCCCACCTAGCACCCACCTCTGGGCAGATTGTCGGGGCCTTCGCTCTCGCTCTCGTGGGAGGCGGTGACGAGGGCAGGTGCTGGGCAGTGTGTGAGATGCTGATGGAGGCAGCAGGAGGAAAGGGCGCCAATGAGCTCTGAGAAGACAGGCCGCCGGTCACTGTTGCTGTCCCTGAGGGTGTCTCTTGGGGGCATGGACCTGCTGCGGCTCCATTTCCCGTTTCCTGGGGGAGCGGGCGCGGGGGGGGGGGGGGCGTTTGGGAGAGAGGCAGCCCGCCTGAGTCTTAGAAACTGAATCTTGGGGCTGGAAGGACCTCGGAAGCCAAACTGGGGACACCTGGTGTCTCAGCACTTCCACCACCTGCCTCCCGCCTCCTCCTGCCCCACAGGAACCCCAACCTGAAGACCCTCTTGTCCGTGGGAGGATGGAGCTTCGGTTCTGAAAGGTAGGACCCCTCCCCAGAGGAAGCTGGACTAGGAGTGCGGAGGCATGAGGGTCACAGGACCCCAGACTGGTTAGCACAGGGGCGGAAATGCCACCAATGCACCACCTCGGTAAAGCCAAGAAACCGGAGCCCACAGAGCCAGCGGGACTTGCCAAGAGTCGCACAACCGCTGACAGTGGATCTTCTCGGTCCTTATTACCAACTTAGGCCTGAGGCCGGACCGAGGGGGTGGAAAGAATGGGAAACGGGAGGAGAGCCTGGGAGGACTTCCCAGGGTGGGCGGCGTGGGAGCCGGGCGTACCGAGGGGGCGGGGCACGGCCACAGCAGCTCCCATTCAGTGAGTGGCTACTAAGTGCCAGGCGCCCTTTCCAGCCATTTCACAGGCAATCCTCACAGCAGCACAAAGAGCTCACTGAGAGCTCACTGAGACCCAGGCTACCATCTGTGCGAGGGGCTTGGCTAGTGGTGACCAAGCCGCCCTCGGAAACCACCGAGGCCATGTCTCCTGGGGGTGTGGGCTCAGGCTCCCTGCTCCTGGGGCACAGAGACCCCCCACCCCGAGGGGACCCTGCCCAGGGTCTCAGCACTGAGCACTCTTCGGCGGTGACTGCGTTCCTAGATTTTCCAAAATAGCCTCCAACGCCCAGAGTCGCAGGACGTTCATCAAGTCGGTGCCTCCGTTCCTCCGGGCCCACGGCTTCGACGGGCTGGACCTGGCCTGGCTCTACCCAGGCCGAAGGGACAAGCGGCATCTCACCTCTCTGGTCAAGGTGTGGCTGGGTCCGTGACAGGGGCAGGGAGGCGGGCAGGACAAGGAGGGTGGACAGAGCTGCCTCCCGCCGATGTCCTGGGAGGGTGGGGAAGAGGGACTGAGGCCTCTGTGCCTCGGGGTCCTGGGACCTGACCCCGAGGAGGACCCACAGGCCTGTGCCCAGAGACCCCGCGGAGCAGGAAGAGCTGTGGCACGGGGGGCGGGGCGGGTCAGCACACAAGCACCCATGTATCATGCCCACCCAGGGGGTGTCACTGTGCACAGTCCTTGGCGGGCGACACGCAGGCACATCCGGGGAGGGCAGACCAGGCACCTCCAGGGGCCAGGGAGCAGCCGTCCAGACAGATGCCCGCAGCACCAGGCACGTCCACTCTGGTCTCATGTGGCTGCTGGGACAGTGCAGACCGGAGCAGATCCACCACCATGCCCTGCGGTCCAGCTGGGAGCTCGTGGCCCTGCCAGGGCGGAGTCTGGGGTGACGGGTGGGGGTGAGCACGGGATGAGCCCGGGAGGAGGTGGGTAGGCCTGGGCACAGGACTGCTGAGGCCCTCAGGGGGACGTGAGGTGCCAGAGCTGGCTCCCACCAGGGGCTCTCTCCCACTCCCGGGGCCCCTTTCACCGGCTGCCTCCCTCACACCAGGAAATGAAGGCCGAGTTTGTAAAGGAAGCCCAGAAGGAATCTCAGCCGCTGCTCCTGAGTGCCGCGGTGTCCGCCGGGAAGGTGGCCCTGGACAGAGGCTACGACATGGCCCAGCTGGCCCAGTGAGTCCCGCCACCGCCCTCCGCGAGAGCCCCAGGCAGCCAGGGGGCCACGCTCCCTCTCTGTCTGTCTCCCCCTCCGTCACGGGAACAAGAACACCCCTCCTCCCTTTCACCTGGGTCGGTACCGACGGGGGAGGGAGTGACTAGGAAGGAGTGTGTGGGGAAAGGAAGCAGAAAGAGCTTACACACCGGCAGCCCGCCTAGCACTGTCTGCACGAGGCTGAGTGCTTCCCCTTGAGCCGGCCTTTCCTTTCCCGGCAGCCAGGGCCCCTGAGAGACTCACACAGGCGGGTCCCCCAGCTCCTCTGCCTGCCCCCAACCCCCAAGTGAGAGGCAGACACAGCCAAGGACCTGATGGCCGGAGGGGCCCGGCCTGGGCCTCAGGAAGCCAGGAGTGAAGGACAGGGGCTTCCCTGTGACGTTGGAATCCTCGTTGCCACCGGAGGGAGGGGAGACTCGGAGCCCAAATGGACCAAGAGGAGGGTAGGGCTCAGGCATTCGCCCCCAGCACCTGACGCTCAGGCCACACGTCTACCTGCTGCCTCAGCTGTGTGTGGGGTCAGGTCCGGTGCCCGCTGTCCTGCTGACATTTTGAAAAAAAATATTTTTTTATTGATTTCAGAGAGGAAGGGGGGGGGGGGAGAGAAACATCAATGAGGAGAGAGAATCATGGATCCTGCACGCCACATACTGGGGATCGAGCCCATAATCCAGGCCTGTGCCCAGACAAGGAATTAAACTCTGACCTCTTGGGTCACAGGTCAACACTCAAGCACTGAGTGACACCGGCCGGGCAGTTGATGACACTGAATCTGCTCTCAGCACAACGAGCCTCTGGACTAGAGGGGCCGGTCTGGGAGCCTGGGCAGCGGGTCGTGGAGAAGACCAGGTCTGGGTGGACGGCTCGTCTCCCTGGTCTGGCGGAGGAGCAGGGGGACCGGCCTGTGGGAGCCTGTGCTCACACCTCGCAGCCTGGGGGCCTCTCTGGTTCACAGCTCGCGCTCCCTCCGCTCCCACAGGCACCTGGACTTCATCGGCCTCATGACCTACGACTTCCACGGGGCCTGGCGCCAGAGCACGGGACACCACAGCCCCCTGTTCCGAGGCGGGGAGGTGGCCAGTTCTGACAGATACAGCAACGTTGTGAGTGGGGGAGTCCTGACAGGCGGGGGGACGAGGGGCCTTGGTCATAGATGCGGCCACGTGTCCCCCACAGTCTGAGAACAGAGGCCGCCTCCCCTCTGTGGAGGAGCCTGATCCCAACTGACGTCCCGGGGCCACGTGCCGGCCGAGGGAGACGAGGGGGTGGCTGGGGCTGGGGCTGGGGCTGGGCCGAGGAGGCCGGCCGGGCCTAGACCTGCCTCTGCCCCTTGGAGTGAGCCCCCCGCCCGGTCCACAGCCGTCAGGGTGGACACGCCTCCCTGTGTCAGGAGGCTTTTGGAGACCCCAGCTGCGCAGTGCCCTTAGACCGGGGTATGGTCCCTGCGAGGAAGGGGAACCCCCGTGTGCATAGGACAGACTGATGCCCCCCCCCCAGGACTACGCCGTGAGCTACGTGCTCAGGCTGGGAGTCCCGGCCGAGAAGCTGCTCATGGGCATCCCCACCTTCGGAAGGAGCTTCACGCTGGCCTCTGCTCAGATCGGCGTGGGCGCCCCCTGCTCGGGGCCCGGGCTGCCCGGCCAGTTCACCAAGGAGGACGGGACCCTGGCTTACTATGAGGTGACTCGGGAGAAGGGGGTTCCAGGGGAGGGTGAGCCCCCTCACCACCCCCCGCACCCGCTTCTGCTCTTCATTGTCCCAGGGGACAGCATCCAGGCTGAGGGCAGTGAGGCCCACACAGTCTTCCTCTGGCTGCCAGCCCCAGGCGCTCTGGCTTCTGGCCGCCCCCGCTGCTCCAAGCCGGCAGCTCGGGGACATGGGCCTCGGCGTGGGGCTGAGAGAGGCTGGAGGTGCCCTGCAGCCCCTCACCCTGACCGTCCTCTGCTCAGATCTGCGGCTTCCTCCGTGGAGCCACCGTGCACCAGCTCCTTGACCAGCGGGTGCCCTACGCCACCAAGGGCAACCAGTGGGTGGGGTACGATGACCGGGAGAGCGTCAGAACCAAGGTAGGTCCTCAGCCCCGCCCCAGGAGGAGGAGGGAGAGGAGGCCCGGGTGCCCGGCGGGAGGGCGATGGGGAGGGGCCGGGATAGCAGGTCCCCCCGCCACCCCTCGGGCAGGAACCCAGCGCTGCCCCCTGGGCCTCCCCGCCAGGTGCAGTACCTGAAGAGCCGGCGGCTGGCCGGCGCCATGGTGTGGGCCCTGGACCTGGACGACTTCCGGGGCACCTTCTGCAGCCAGAACCAGCCGTTCCCTCTCACCAGCGCCGTCAAGGAAGCCCTGGCCGCCGCCTAGCGCTCCGTCCAACACGGCGGGGCAGGCACGGCACCCGGGGTCACCTCAGTCTCCTTCCCGGGCCCTGCAGAGGGGCCAGCTCTGAGCTCAGCCCTCCCCGTGTACATGCAGGGGTTGGGCAGGGGATGTGGGCAGAGAAGGCTGGATCCCACAGGGTCAGGCAGGGACAGCGCACATGCTGAGGAGTGAAAATGCTGCCCCTCCCCGGCCTCCTCGGCAGCACGGCCGACAAGCAGGAAGCAGTGACCACACAAGGCACAGCCCCCACACGGCCCGGCTTCCAACCTTCACCAGGAGCGTCCCTGTGCCTCCCTCCCAGCTCCCACCGCTCAATAAAGCTCCACAGCATCCGTGTTGGCACCTGCTGGCCCATCTCTGAGGCCCATGGCTTCCCTCTCCGCTCTCATCTGGTTCCTCTCTCCCAAGCTTGGGGCTCTGAGCTTGCAGAAGGGGCGGCCAGCGTGGCCACTGCTGGGGCCTTGGGAATCCCCAGAGGAGGCTGCCTCTTCACACCTGCCTGCTGTGGCTTCACCCGGCGGAGCTGAGAGCGTCCACTGAAACTCCGTCCTCCAGGGACATCGACACGGCTCCGGGTGAGAGAGCCATGTGTCTGTAAGGCCGGCAGGAAGGAGAGGGGGACGCCCAATCCTACCCCTTCAGCTGCCAGGGGAGAGGTGCAGGAGCCAGCACAGGGCCGGGGTGTGGAGCTCCGACAGCTCTCCAGCTGGAAGGAGACACCCAGGTTGCATCACGCTATGTCCTCCCCGCATCCCAGGTCTGGATCCATCCATGGTCCTGCCGTTCCCAAGGGCTCACCGCCATGGAGGGCCCTTCCTATCGCCACAGCAACCCTCGTCTCTCTCCGGGGACATGCTGGGCCCTCAACCCCGCAGGGCTCCTCTGCCGGGCTGGCCGGGGACAGGGGTGGGCAGCGGGAGACGTGAGGGAAGATGTGCTGTGAGCCAAAGAGAGTCCTCGGCGATCCGTTCGTGGAGGCCTGACGGCTGGACTCTGTGACTTGGCCAGTGGTTTGTGATGCTAGTTTGAGGCGTGGGGAAGGAAATGCCTACTGGCTGCACTGAAATCTGAACCAGCTGGAGCTGGACAGATGCAACTGGTCTGAAGGTCACAGCTCAGCCAAAGGCAAAAAATGGTGGGGACCTGGCCAAGGCTGCGGGTACGTGACATTTCCCGCTGGCCAGTGGGGCCAAGCCTTCCCTAATGCCTGAGGGAAATACAAGCTATGCATGCTTCTGATTCATGCTATACTCCACACGCAAGGGTCATTAATATATATATATCTTTATGATGTCAGAGAGGAAGGGAGAGGGATAGAGAGAGAGAAACATCAATGATGAGAGAGAGTCATGGATCGGCTGCCTCCTGCATTCCCCCCACTGGGGATCAAGCCCATAACCCGGGCATGTGCCCTTGGCCGGAATCAAACCCGAGACCCTTCAGTCCACAGGCTGATGCTCTAACCACGGAGCCAAACCAGCCAGGGCCACACAAGGGTCTTTGAAAGCAGGGCTGTGAGCCCTCCACGGCAGCCACCCCCTGCGCCCTGCCCCTGGAGCCAGCCTCCCACTCACACGCCCGGCAGGGTGACTCAGGGTCCTGCCGTTAGTCACGTTCACTTATAGCTGCAGACTCAGCGCAGGGATGGGGCTTCCAGGGCCCACCCCCTGCCCGGCAGGACCCTGAGTCAGCTGGCTCAGGCCCCGCACGCCACTCCCCGACAAGGACAGCCAGGGGTGAGAGAAGCCACACGAGAGGCCTCACCCTGGGGACGGAGGAGACTGTGCCTGCGGCTGAGGACACGCATAAGTCACGTGTGTGCTTAATTTTACGTGGCAAGGCCCTGTGTACACGGGAAAGCACACCTGGCCTGCATTCCTTTCGTTTAAAGAAATGCTGCGCAGTGAAGACTTGTGCAGCCACCGCCCAGGAGGGGAAATGAGACCTCAGTGCTGCTCCCGAAACTCAGCTAGGACGGCCACATCATGGCTCCTCCGTGGTCTCTCCACGGGGAACGCCCTGGAGCAGAGAGCCTGCCCCGCTCTGCGTTTGCATGCGATGTGGGTGGGATGGCACCCTGGTGCGTTCTGGGTGCGGACTCGCTCAGTCACCTACGCACCCCAGGCCTGGGGCTGCTCTCTCCCGAGGCGCCCGCTGTGGCGTGTGATCCAGCGGGACCTTTCCTGCAGGGCTGTCTCCCGAGAGGCTCCGGCCGCACCGAGGGGCGTGGAGGGTGCGATGTCTGCTCTGGGCTCGGTCCCATCTCTCGGCCAGCGGGGTGGGAGCTCATGTCTCCGACTCCCTGACACCTAGTGTCTGGTCACTACATGGTCACCAGTCTGACGTGTCCGTGGGTGAATGAACCGGGGAAGAGGAACACACACTGCCTCATCCCCTCCCCTGCCAATGCCACACCAGGCCCTGCTTTGAAGCATCTAGAAGGTTCCGAGTGCCAGCTTCCTCCGTGGTCCTTCCCATTCCTGCCTTACTGACACTAACACACCCCGGAGCTGGGGTCTGTCAGAGGCGCTGTGACGGGGGGCAGGTGAGGGGGGGCAGCGGTCCCCAGAGGGTCCTACCAGTATCTCAGAGGGGCAGTAACAGGGGCCCTGGACACCCTTCCTGGAATCCCGTTGCTGATAGACCCACCTTGGCACCCCAACAACGCCCTCTCTGGGGCCCTCGGCCGCATACCCCACGAGGGAGACCCCCGGGGACGGGAGGGCGGGGGCGCGGCTCCCGGGGAGGCTATTTCGGGCCGTCTGGGCCCCAGCCCCAGGCTCCGGAGCCTGGGCACACGTGACCCCCGGGAGGCCAAGGCGGCCTGAGCTGGGTTCACCCTCCAGATGGAAGCTCATCGCCACAGCCCTGACCCCTGGCACAGGCCCCTGCCAGCGTCCTCTCTTGCCCATCTGTGCCTTCCTCCCATCTGGGCACTGGCACCCCGGCTGCTGGGAGCCAAGCGGGTGATGGACGACACAGTGCCCTCTCAAGGGACCCTCCGTCCCTCCCCCGGAGCTATTCCTGGCCTGGGCGCCTCCCCGCTCCCAGCCCCCACCTGGCCTGACCCCACAGCTGGGAGCCATCTGGCTGGGGGTGGGGCGGCCTGCCTATATAAGCTGGGGCCTGGGTGCCCCAGCACCCTGTAGGCCAGACCCTCCACGCTGACCTCAGCACACTCAGCCTGACCACAGCCGGCCGGCAATGACAGCGACCTCGCAGGCCCCTGACTATGGCCCCGAGGAGGCCGCCCCTGAGGTGCCCAAGGTGCCCGCTGAGCCCTCTGGACCAGGGGCCCCATTGGAGCCCACGGGAGAGGAGCAGGCTCCCGTGGCCGCCCCCGAGGCTCCTGTCCCCGCGGCCCCGCAGGCCCCTGACCAGGGTCCAGGGGAGCCTGCCTCTGAGGTGCCCACGGAGCCCGCGGAGCCCCCTGGGCCAGGGGCAGCACCGGAGCCCACGGAGGAGGAGCAGGCTCCCATGGCCGCCCCCGAGGCTCCTGTCCCCGAAGACACCAAGCCTGCGCCTCGAAGTGAAGGTACCAGAAGTGGGGCAGGCGGAGGAGGGATGCAGCACGGTGGAGGACGGGGTGGGGGGGCTCTGAGCCCACGCCGCCTGTCCCCGCCCCTCCTCTCCCACAGACGTGCCCAGTGCCCCCCTGAAGCTGACCATCGAGGACGTGAGCGACAGCTCAGTGACCGTGAGCTGGGAGCCCCCAGAGAGTCTGGGGACTCAGGGCCTGCAGGGCTACGTGCTGGAGCTTCGCAAGGAGGGAGGTGAGCTCTGGGCGGAGCACGCAGGCACCAGGGAGAGGGCTTGGGAGACGCTGGCCCAGACCCCACTCGGTGCAGGGCCAGGCAAGGAGGCAGGGGGATCGGGGTATCCCCAGGAAGCGCTAGTCCCCCAGCTCCAGGGAGCCCCTGAATGACAGCACACAGGATGGGGGCGGGGCACTGCTCTGCGGAGAAGTGAGGGAGGGGCCGCCTCTCCGAAGACCCCGCGGGGGGTGGGCAAGCAGCAGGAGGCAGATTAGAGGAAGGAGCTGGGGGTAGAGGGAGAGTAAGGAGATGGTGAGGAGAAATGGGACACATTCCTGTTTCCACCTCCATGGTGGCCAAGTTCGGCCTGGCCTCGGCCTCTGACCCCACTTTGCTGTGTGGCTTGGCCACTGCCTACCTCTGGGCTGGAGCACCCCCTCTGGCCACTCCCCCCAGCTCCTCCATCAGGGGTCCCCAACCACAGACACGAGGGCCGGGAGAGGGAGGAAAGGGGCCCAGGCCCAGCTCCGCAGCCGGAAGGGTGCCCATGGCCACGAAGCCAGGGCCTCCGGCTCTCCCTCCGCAGCCTCGGAGTGGGTGCCCGTGAACGCCAGGCCCATGATGGTGACCCAGCAGACCGTGCGGAACCTGGCCCCGGGAGACAAGTTCTTCCTGCGCGTGGCTGCCACGAACCCCGCGGGGGCCGGGCCCCCCGCCACGCTGGACCAGCCCGTCCACATCCGGGAGATCATCGGTGAGGCCCGGCACTCATGGGGTGGATGGGGAGACCGAGGCCGGCGGGCAGAGGGGACGGCAGTCATCCCCGGCCCTATCACGTGGTACGCAAGCCACGTGCTGCCGCCATCTTGCCTTTAGACAGGTCCAGGTTCCCAGCAGCAAAAAACCCTCTGAAGGTCCAGGGGCCCATTTCTCTGAGTGCCCACCGCCCAAGCCTTGGGAAAAGGGTTTTCTGACACAAGAATGGAGGCTCAGGGCTCCATGGTGTGGATGGAGAAGCATCCGGATTCCCTAGGCTCAGGCCCCAGTCCTAGACTCCTTCCCTATCCTCCTATCGAGTCTCCCACCCCCAGGGGGGCAAGGAGAGCTCACCCCTGCTCACCCCTGCTCATTCCTCTGGCCTGGGGTCCAGGGCTCCCCTGGGGTCCAGGTCTCTGGTGGCAGGACGACAGGGCCCTCCAACAGCCCATGACCATGTCTCCATCCCCAGAGGGAGCGCGGCCCAGGGACCCAGCTGTTTCCCTTGCTAAGCTTTCTATTTGTGGGCGCACCGGCCTCACGCCTGCTGCTCCCTCCAGAGCCGGTCAGGTTTCAGTCTGTTCACGGCCGTGAGTCATTCCTTCGGGCCCAAGGTCCCTGGGGACAGCCCGGGGTGCAGTGAGGAGAGACGCAGGCCAGCAGGTGACTGAGGCCTCCTCACCTCCGCCCTCGCTCCACACCTCCAGCCTCGGAGGCGGAACCACAGCTCGGGTCAAAGCCTCCAGAAACAGGGCCTTTGGTGGCCATGGGAGGGTCAAATTTGGGTTCAATGAGATGATCTCAGCTCCAGGGCCCGGGAGATGTGGCCATGGCAACTTAGAACCCTTGGCTGTCGAGCTGGGCCTCAGCGTCAGGGACTCGGAGACCCAGCCTCCAGGGCAGCGCCTCCTAGAACCCGATTCACACGGGACCTCTCCTGCATGCAGGGAGCAGGAATGTTCTCCCTGGTGTTCAAAAGCCAAGGGTGCTCCCAGCCTTTGGCTCTGCAGTGCAGACACAGGGACCTGCCCCAGGGAGGGCCCCAGGGAGCTCAGGCTCTTGCCCGAAGCCTGGCGCTGACAGCCAGCCTCGGCCCCTGCGACTCTGTAAGAATTCCTCTGGCAGCTGAGAAGGGGATTTCCTGGAGAGAAGAGGGGAGAGACTGTGAACAAACAGGACCAGCCAGCCCTCCTGGTGGGCAGGGCAGGGCAGGGGCCTGTCCAGGTTCCTCAGCTGCTCAGCTGTCCCTCCTTGGCCACCTGCAGCTGCCAAGCATTCCACCCGAAGCTGCCAGAGCCAAGTGCCCACACAGCTAATCCTCGGAGACACAGTGTTCCTTCTCCCTGTCTCCTCCCTCCGCCCTGATAGCCACCAACTGTCGCCACCTGTCCATCCAGAGGCATCAGTCCCCTACTCCCCCCCCACCCCCCTGGGCAGTGGCTTGGCTGAACAGCTCCCCAGGGAATGTCCGTGGGGCAGGAATGCCAGTGGTGCCGAGCTGCACCTGGTTGGGAGATGTAAGGACCCTGGTGTCCTGTCCTCGCCAGATTCCAGAGAGGCTTCCCGACTGAGACTGGACTGTGTGTGTGTGCATGCCTGCATATGTGTGTGCGCGTGCCTGCATACGTGCGCGCGCGCGTGTGTGTGTGTGTGTGTGTGTGACAGAGAACAAAGGGATTGTCTGCTCTGGCGTCTTTTAGGAAGGAGACCTCCTAACCCTCCCACGTGACCAGGAGGCAGAACATGGGCACTTCTCTCGGAAGGTCCTGGGCTCTTGAGGGGGGAGGGAGGACTGGGTTCAGAAGCCTAGGCTGTGCCCCCTTTCTGGAATGCAGGCCGGTGGGTGAGGATCCCCGACATGTGGACCCAGGAATTGGGGGCTGCAAGAGAGTCGCAACCAGCCGGGGTCCAGGAGCCTAGGGAATCCGGATGCTTCTCCATCCACGCCATGGAGGCCCTGCCCTCCTGGGACTTTCTGGCTTAATTCCCCCGAGGGCTTTAGGGAAATTGGGGCCCCTCGATTTCTGGAGCAAGCTTCATTCATCCCACAAGATGACCCCACAACACACCCGAGAGCCCTCCAGCCCAGCCCAGGGCCTCGCCGACCAGCAGTCCACGGCCGTGCTGAGTGGACCCTCACTCTGATGCAGAGCCCCCCAGGATCCGAGTGCCCCGCCACCTGCGCCAGACCTACCTCCGCCAGGTGGGAGAGATGGTCAACCTGCAAATCCCCTTCCAGGTGTGTGTGCGTGTGTGTGCGGAGATCGGGCCCCAGCGTGGGTGGCGGTGGGTGCTGGCACACCCTGCACACCCTGAGGGCTCCTCCCTCCCAGGGGAACCCCAAGCCCCAAGTCTCGTGGACCCACAACGGCCTCGCTCTGGACGGCAAGAGAGTGAGCGTGCGCAACGGAGACCAGGACTCCATCCTCTTCATCCGCTCGGCCCAGCGTGAGGACTCGGGCTGCTACGAGCTCACCGTGCGGCTGGAAACACTGGAGGCCCGGGCGGCCATCAACATCCTGGTCATCGGTACGGGGCAGGGAGGCAGCGCGCCTCGCCGGGCCTAGACACCCCACCTCCTACCCCGCAGCTGACGCTCGTGGGGCAGGCAAGGGAAGCGCGACAGGAGCGAGATCCTGGGGGTGGGGCTGTCTGGCCAGCCCAGCCCTCCCCTCACTGCCCCGGACACTGGTCCTGCAGAGAAGCCCAACCCACCCAGCAGCGTCCGGCTGGTGGACGTCTGGGGCTGCAACGTGGCCCTCGAGTGGACGCCGCCCCAGGACACCGGCAACACTGAGCTCCTGGGCTACACGGTGCAGAAGGCGGACAAGAAGACACAGGTGAGGCTCTGGGCCACCGGGTGGTGGGGAGGTGTGGGGGGCAAGGGAGGACGTGGATGAGGTGTGGGAGGCCCAGCCCGCTGAGATCGGGGACTGAGTGCAGATCTGCCTGCCTTCAGCCCGACTCCCCACGAGGCTTTTGGCATGATCCCTGACCTCTCTGGGCCTCAGTTCCCCCGTGAAGACTGCGGGGGGGGGGGAGGGAGGAGGCTCTCTGAGGACCCCAATGACCCCGAATGACCCAGAGGCCCCGCCTCCCGAGTGAAAGTCCCTCCGGCCAAGGGAGCCGCTGCAGCTGCCAGGGGAGCAGCGCTGGGTGAGCAGGGAGTGGGGGGGGCGGGGCGGTGATGACGGGCCAGTCCCCGCAGCAATGGTTCACCGTGCTGGAGCGCTACCACCCGACCACCTGCACCGTCTCCGACCTCATCGTGGGCAACTCATACTCCTTCCGCGTCTTCTCAGAAAACGTATGTGGGCTCAGCGACTCGCCCGCCATCACCAAGGAGCTGGCTCACATCCGGAAGACAGGTAGGCCTGGGCCTGGATGGGAAGCAGGCCAGTCCCAGCAAGGCTGACCCCCCCCCCCCGACCTCCACCCCCACCTTTTCCTGGGTGTCAGCTGCCCTCGCTGAGGACTTCTCACTGATGCTGCTCCACACACAGCCATGCACACACACACAGCCAAGCACATACACAGCCATGCACACACACACACACACACACACAGCCATGCACACACACACACACACACAGCCATGCACACACAGCCATGCACACACACAGCCATGCACACACATATCCATGCACACACACAGCCATGCACACACATATCCATGCACAGCCATGCATATCCATACATAGGCACACAAATACCTATGCACAGCCATGCCCAGCTATGCACACACACAGCCATGCATAGCCCACACACACAGCCATGTATAGCCACACACACAGCCATGCACACTCACTCAGCCATGCACACACACAGCCATGCACACACATATCCATGCACAGCTATGCACACAAATACCTATGCACAGCCATGCACAACCATGCACACACACAGCTATGCACAACTATGCACACATATGTACACACATGCACCTGCAAAGGGATGGATGTGGTGGTCAGACTTAACAGATAAGAGAGCAGTCCCATGCAAATAAGAAGTGTCCCTTAGGAGAGGGAGACTGTATTTATTCCAAAGACGCCATGTGTCTGCAGACATCAGAGTGGTCACGGGGCCTCATGTGCACTGTCCCAGAGGAACCGGTATGAGGGCAGTGGGGACAGTGGACTCCGGCACGTTGGCTGATAACACAGACCTCCCAACCCTAAGATAAGTCCACGTGATGCACAGGAGAGACTCAGCCTTTACTCTCTCCACACGGGCAAGACCCCTCACGTGGAGTGTTAAGTCCCAGGCCTTTCTCCGTCACCCTGCGCGTTCCCAGGCCCTCCCCCACGTGGAGTCTGTCTGGGCTCCCGAAGGCACATGCTTGTGAGCAGCACCCTAAGCTGCACAGACCTAGGGAGAAATTTCTGTTTAAAAAAGTAAAGCCAGCTATTTCTCCAAAGACAAACAAATCAGACGTAGCATCTCCGGCTGCTGGCCTCCACCATCAGCCAAGATCCTCTCCTCCCCCTGGCTCTCCTGCCCGCCCTCTCTCAGCTCCCCTTGCGGAGCGCCGGGGTCTCAGCTGTGCTCTGCCCCCGGGAGACATTCTCCCGCTACGTCCCCGCACACTGGCCATGGAGCTCCAGGGAGGGGCGGATGGCGTGGATTCCCGTCGTCCTTGGACTCTAAGACAGTCCTCCGGGCCGTCAGCGCCGCAGGCCTCAGAAGATGGGAGCTGTGGCCCGCATCTGGGGAAAGGGCTGAGGTCCCTCCGAGGGCATTTCCTCCTGTAATCTCACCTTTACCCCTTTTCTCCCGCAATCCCAGACATTGTTGCCAAACTTAAGGAGTTTGTTGAGAGAGACTTCTCAGAAGCCCCTTCCTTCACCCAGCCCCTGGCTGATCACACCACCACCTCCGGCTACAGCACCCAGCTCTCCTGCAGCGTCCGAGCGTCGCCCAAGGTGAGGGGCCGGCCCGGCGGTGCCTTGGGGAGAGGCGGGGGGAGGGAAGGGGGAGGAGGACCACAGGGCGGTGGGGGGAAGGAATCTGAGCAGGCATCTCCGCCAAGGCCTGCGGATGGCCTGGGAGAGCCTGCCCCAGGCCCCGCCTTCCCGCCTCCCTGTGACCTTGCTCCCCAGCCCAAGATCATCTGGATGAAGAACAACATGAACATCCTGGGGAACCCCAAGTACCGCACCTTCTCCGAGCAAGGCGTCTACACCCTGGAGATCCGGAAGCCCAGCCCCTTTGACTCCGGGGTCTACACCTGCAAGGCCGTCAACATGCTGGGGGAGGCGTCCGTGGACTGCCGGCTGGAGGTCAAAGGTGAGGGCTGGCGGAGGGTCTCTCCTTAGGGACCGGCCGTGGGGCGAACAGGAGCTGCCCCTCTTCTCCTGTGGGACTGGGGGGGCCGCACCCTGAAAACCCGCGGAAGGACCGGGCAGGGCGACGGTGCTGGGCGCCGGGGGTGGCCCCATGTGGCAGAGGAGGAGCATGTCTGCCTGGGAGGTAGCCCGGAGCTGCTCTGGGTTCGCCACCCCAGCCCGGTCCCCAGAGGCCCCAGCTCTAACCGCGGGGTCTCTTCCGCCCTTAGCCACACACTGAAGACCGTGACGGAGACACAGGTAAACCTGGGTGGCTTCGGGGCGAGGCGGGCAGGGGAGCAGGGGAGGGGCAGTCACACACCCCTCAGGGCGATGCCGGTGGGACCTGGGGCAGGGATTTGGTGGACGGTCTGGTCCTGGTTCTGAGAGAGCTGGAGGGCGGGGGAGGGCCTGTTTCTTGTCAGAAAAGCAGGGCCGACAGCGCACGCCCCCTTCTCTGCGAGGAGGTTCTTAGGCGCTGGACAGGGGGGAAGAGGCAGAGCTCAGAGAGGAAGAATAGAGGGCCCCTCCCCTGCTCTCCTCAACCCTCAGCCGCAGTGCCCGGACCAGGGTCATGGGGCGTGTCCTCTGCCAGGTGCTGTGGGCCTGAGGGGTCAGGGCCGCCAGGCCCATATCCGGCGCCAGGAGTCTCCAGACCCGTCTCTGCTGTGAGGACGACAGCGCTGCCCCCTGGCCCAGCCTCACCTCCCTCCCCTGAGGCTGCAGCCCGGCACCCAGGAGCGGGCGGGCCTGGCAGCCCCGGGACGGGCTGGCTGGGCACCAGGACCCAGGACAGTGCCAAGACGGCTGTGCCCAGCAAGACGTTGCATGCCGGGCGGAAACCCCAAATAAAGTGCACGTGTGCTGTCGGGGCCTCTGTGACCGATGATCGTCTCGTGGCGGGGAATGGGGATGTGTCACCATTAGGGGTCCCCACGTGGAAGGTTTGGTGGGAGGGGACGCGGGAGTTGGGGGGGGAGCCTTCTTGACATGAGATGTTTGAGGATCTGGCTCTCACGGTCAGGGCTTGCCAGGCTCAGACAAGAGCTGTGAGCACACCCGCCCTCTCGCTGGAACCGAGGGCCTCCACACTGCCCGGCTCCCACACCCTGACCGCCCCACGGGGTCCTCTCCGAGGCTGTTGGCGCCCTCGGCGTGGCAGCGGGCGCCTAGCAGTGGCTCTCCGTGCAGGTTCACAGTCTTTATTCGCCAGGTGCCCCCGGGAGCAGGGCACAGCACCTCTGAGAGAGGTGAGGCCAGAACTGAGGCCTGGAGTCACTACGCACACAATCCTGCCCCTCCACCCTCTGCACCCGGCTCTGGGCTTTGGGGAGGGGGGGGGGGAGGGACGGTGAGAGGGAGTCCCCCAGAAACCCTGGAATCCCAGGCTCTGCAGCAGAGCCCACCGCCCCTGAAAACTGGACCAGATGCCAGGGGTCCTGGGGCAGGTAAAGGCCAGCAGGACCTTCCCGCCTCCTTGCTCAGGGGCTGGCTCCTCTGTCTGCTCCAGCCTGCCATACCCCCTCCCAGGAGTGCCCGTCACCATGTCCTCCCTCAGCATCGGGCACAGTGCTCTCCAGAGCTGACCGTCTCCACCTGGCCAGATGCAGCAGGGAAGGGTGCTCCCTGTGAGAGCCCAGGTCTGTCTGGGGGCAGGGGCCTGCTGGGCTAGAGCCCGGAAGACAGGAGGTCACACGCTCAGTGCTGCCACCTGCAGGCTGGGTGCAGCCCACACCACCACTCCACACTGGCTGCTGAGCTCCAAGCTGAGGCTCCCAAGGCTGGTGGGGATAAAGCCGATGCTGGAAATGATGGACTGGCTCTGTAGACCTCCGTCTCAAGGATAGTCCTGGGCTGCTCAGGCAAGGGGGCAGGCGCCGTGGCACCCAGCGTGGCTGGGAGGCTGGGGCTGTGGGAGGGAGGGAGGGACTGAGGCTCCTCCATGGCTGCCCCTCCCTGGCTCGGCCCTGCTCCTCCAGAGAAAGCAAGGCCAGGATGTGTGGCTCCTCTTCGTCCTCATCACGGAGGGGGTGCCCTCCCTCCTGAAGCCTGGTCCCCGGCAGGCGGCATGGTCCCAGCCGCTGGGGCGAGAGCGCCCCCGCCCGCAGACGCGGAGATGGCCTCCCGGGCCCGGGCCCTCGGCCTGAGGCAGGGGCTACCCATGGGACAGGAAGGCAGGCAGGTGGGGTGGCTCCAGCCACTTCCCTCCTTCCCGGTTTGTCCGCTGGACGGCCCCACCCCCAGCCGGGGCGGGGAGACCGTTAGTCCAGGCGGTGGGGCGAGCGGGCGCGGAGGGCCCTGCCGCGGCGGCGGCAGCGGGTCTAGTCCTCCGGCCGCTCCTCCGGGGGGTCCTTGTCCGCGGGGGGCGCGGGCCGGCGGCAGCGGAAGTGGTCGTTCCAGATCTTGAGGAAGGTGGCCCGGAACTTGTGGATGCGGAAGGCGTAGACGATGGGGTTCATGGCCGAGTTGCCGTGTGTGAGGAAGATGGCGATGTAGGTGAGCAGGCTGGGCTTGTGGCAGCGCGGGCAGAAGAGGGTGATGCAGTTGAGGATGTGCAGGGGCAGCCAGCTGAGCGCGAAGAGCAGCAGGATGAGCGCCAGCGACTTGGCGATCTTCAGCTCCTTGCCGTAGTACTTGTGCGGGTCGCCCGCGGACGCCGACACCTTCTTGCTGAGCTGCCGGCGGATCAGGTAGAACACCTCCAGGTACACGAGCGCCATAAGCAGCAGCGGCGGCAGCACCCACACGAAGAAGTTGAAGTAGACCATGTACTCCATGCTGATGACCTTCTCGAACTCGCACTGGATCACCAGCTCCCCGGCGCTGCCGTTGGCCGCCCAGGCCCGCTGCACCGCGCCCAGGTTGTTCCAGCCGAACATGGGCGTCAGGCCCACCACGAGTGAGAGGAGCCAGCAGCCGGCGATGGCCACCGCGGCCCTCCGGGGCGTCACCACCGTCTTGTACCTGGGGGGAGGGCAGAGTGAGACCCTGAGGCTCCCAGCTCCCCCAGTACCGGCCCCCACCGCCCCACCAGGGCCAGAGAGCGGGAGTGGGTGTCTTTGGCTAAAGTGCCGTCTCTCAGGGTCTGAGATTGGGGGACGCACTGGCTCACCGCTCTTGGTTAGCGATGGAAATCACATGGAAAGAGGAGGATGCTCTTTAGTTTTAATAAAATCACCAACGTGGAATCGCTGTGTGTGCTGGGCGTGTGCCCTGGTGGCCTCATCCCTGATTCCTGATGGCCCTCGTGGGGGGAAAGCACCAGCAGGTGAAGATGCGGAGGTTCACAGTGTCCTGTGACCTGCAGGCGCCTCCCAGCTCATGTCCCCATCACCACACAGCCACACAGCCACACGGCCCCTGTGCTGGCCACACAGCCACGGCTGCACCAGCCCCTCCCCTGTGCCGGCGACACTCACGAAGTACCCACACCCTCCTCCGGGCTGGTCCACTCCCTGGCCAGCTCCCCCCACCACCCCGTGCCCAGCTTCTCCTCCCTCCCTCCCGCCCCGTCACTGCACAGGGCTTGGCCTCAGAACCAGCTGTGCACACCCAAGCCCCTGGGGAATGGCTCTCAGGAGAGCAAGCTGTGCTCCTAAGCCTCTGCTCGTGTCCAGCGAGCTCTGCGTGCTGAGTCCCGGGCACTGCTCTCCGCGGGGAGCGAGCCGAGGCCCCCTCCCTCAGCCCACCTGGGGAAAAGACCCAGGTAACACCACAGGAAGGAGGCAGGCAGTGAGGCGGCTGCAGGCGTGGCCTGTGTCTGTGAAAGGAAATACCCGGGACCCTGTCGAGAGGCCAAGCTTCCACACATCATGACACACGGATGCTGCAGACATGTGGGTGATCCAGAGCCTAACGAGGTGACAGCTCCGCACCCCCCGGAGGCCGAGGGTGTCCACGTCCCCCCATTCCCGTAAGCACGCCCGGCCAGCGGCCAGCATGTCCTCTGGCCGCACACGGCCGTGGAGCGGGAGCCAGAGGCCGGAGGAGCCGGCTCAGCACAGCCTCGTGGTCATTTTCCAAAGCGGCTGCCAGGCTCCGAGCCTGTAAACAGCTCCTGAAGCCCGTGGGGTGAGGGGCCCCCTTCCGGCTGCTTCTCAGTCCCTTCGCAGCGATGATGCCCCAGGCCGGTCCTCCTGGGTCTCAACAAGGCACACAGACCCGCGAAGACCTCACCGGAAGGGAAGGGGAGGGGAGGGTGGTTTGGGGGTGGGAGGGGTCTGCAAAGCGAAGTGGATGGGACTTCATTTCTAATCTCATCCTCCAGGTGACTCCCCCATCCTCCACTCCCCTGGGATCAAGTATCCTGTGTCCCCTCAGCACAGCCCAGGAGTTCCAAGGCATGGACCTTGATTGTGGGCACATCCCTCAGCACAGCCCAGGCGACGGGCTGGCTGGGCTGTTTGGATGCAGGATGATTGGCAGGTGGAGAAGGCCCCTCTCCTACGAGTTTGATCATGGGGCCTGGACCCCGTTCAAAGAGGGGCCTCCCGGAGGTGGGGGGCGCCGGGAGGGCCACGGAGAGAGGAGGTGGCACTGACTGTCCTCGGAGGACCCCCCAAGAGAGGAGGTAGTGCTGACTGTCCAGGTGGGGGCGGCGGGGAGGCACCTCCTCCTGGGAGAGGCCCCATCCCCTCCCCCCCGACTTCCTGGAACCCCTGGTCACCTCTTTCCTGGGCTCCTCGGGGCCAGGTCCCAGCAGACCCTGCGGCCGGCCGGGGTATCAGCTCCCATCTGTTTTCCTTGCTATTTTCTCCACGTGGGAAAGGCCCGGGGCAGGACCTCGGCTGAGGTGGGGCAGGTTCTCACAGGAAGGCTCCCTCCCCCACTCCCCTCCCCCCAGGCTGGAGCACCACCTCTCCTAGACGTGGGAAAGGAAAGCAGAGGCTGCAGTCCTGGGTGCACGTGGCTGAGGCACGACACATGCCTCCAACATCGGGGTGTCCCTCCCAAATCAGGGTGCAAGGCCTGGCCACCTCGGGCATGCTGGGAACTGGCCCTCAGGAGTGAGGCTGCCTCCGGAGCAGGCGGTCCCAGCTGACGGGAGGGGTAGCCACAGGAGGCAGTGACACTCCAAGTGGGGCCTGTCCCCGGGCAGCTCCTTAAAGTTACCATAAAGGGACCGGCCACCTGGAACCCCTCAGGGCCCGAGACCCACACCTGAGTCTGCCCTCCCTGAGATTCTTAGAAGCAGAGACACCCTGCCGAAACCAGTGGATAGAGCGTCAGCCTGTGGATTGAAAGGTGACGGGTTCGATTCCGGTCGGGGCATGGACCTTGATTGTGGGCATATCCCCAGTGGGGGGGTGCAGGAGGCAGCTGATGGATATTTCTCTCTCATCGATGTTTCTGACTCTTTATCCCTCTCCCTTCCTCTCTGTGAAAAATCGATAAAATATATTAAATAAGAAGAAGAAGAAGAAGAAGAAGAAGAAGAAGAAGAAGAAGAAGAAGACACCAGCTCTAGGCACCCATCAATCCATCAGCATCTGTGGAAGGCCACAACGTGGAAGGACGGGGGTGGAGGGGGTGTGCAGACTCTAGAGGGAGGGCAGAGCCTGAAGGAGAGGCAGGGAGGAGGGTCCCTGATGCCAAGAGCGAGCCTGGCTGGAGGGGAAAGCCGTTCCCTCTGCAGCTGGTGCCAGAGCAAGTGAACGGCCCCGAAGTGGGGCCAGAGGCCGAGGCTCACACCCTGCACCCAGAGGGGCTCCAGGGACAGAGACTGGGGAGGGGGAGGGGCTGGGTGGGAGGCGGGGCCGCAGGTGTGGTCAGGAGGGTCACCCAGGGCTGCACGGTCACGGTCAAGGTTCTGGGGTTTGTTCTAAGCCTTAAGCCCCTTTGCTGGACTGAGGGCTGAGGAGCGGAGCGGCTGAGCACGCCGGTCCTGAGCCCTGTTCTGCGTCCCAGGGTCTGAGCCCCCGCCAGGTGGGTCCTCGGGAGGCACGGCAGTGCCCACAGGGAGGGACAGAAGCCAGGACAGCTCCTCCTTCTCGGACCCGAGGCCACCATGCATGCCAGGCAGCAGCTGTGTCTCCTGGGCTCCACTTCCCACAGGGAGGCCCCACAGTCCAGCCCTGGGGTCCCAGACCCGCCTCCCCCAGCGCCTGCAGCCCCGGGAGTGTGTGTGTGGCTGCTGGTGGTGCTGACCTCTGCGGCCTGCCTGCCCCGGCCACCTGGCTGCCCCGGCCTGGCTTCGGGGCTTCACTGCGGGCTCAGCCAATTTCTGGCCCTAAACGCCTCCCGCTGGAAACACCAACATGACCCCCGTGTTCCTGGTCGGACCCCAAAGGTTTGTCTCGAATCTGAAGCAGGGGAGCTGAGTATAGTCACCACAGAGGACTCCCTGCCAGCCTCTTCACGGATGGTGCTGACTCAGGGGAGAGAGAATTGTAGGGGGCGGGCAGGTGTCGGGAAAGGCATGGTGTGTGAGGCCAGGGGAGAGGAAGCATCCAGCCAACGTCCGAAACCCGGGCAGGGCCCCAAGGCCCGGCTGTCCTCCGCTTCCCTGTCGCCGGCTCCCGCACGGGGCCCACGGCTGGGAGAGGGGGGACGGGTGGGGGTGGGGCTCAGCACTCTCTGGCATCCTCTGCTGCCCTGAGGCTTAGGGCACCGGCCGAACCCTGTCTGGCGTCCTCCTTCCCTGGCGTCTGGGGGGGCGACTGGTGCTCGGCTCCATCCTCTCCCCCGGCCTCCCTCCTCGACAGGAGTCAGCCACTTGTAACTCAAAACTTGGATCTCAAGACCAGGAAATGAGGCTTTCAGACCATTTAAACTACTTCCTGCCGAGAGTCTTGCTCCCCAAGGAGCGCAGGAAACCAGATGCAATCGCGGCAGGCGGAGGGCTGGGCACGCGCCAGGGGCCACGTCGTGGGCATTAACTTTGCCCAGAGGAGTCTGGGGGGCGGGCCCGGGAGGGGCTGGGCGTCTGGGTCCCGAGACACGGCTGAGGCTCTCTCTGCCTGGGCCACGATGCATCCGGCACCTGGGAATGTCAGTGTCACACACACCCCAGGGCCCCCCCTGAGCCGGGGCCAGGCCCCGCAGCGCTCGGGGGAGGAGTGCAGCATGGGTCCTGGGTTCTCAGTGCCCTGGCCCTCGGAGCCGCTCCTGGTCACGTGGGAGGACTGACCACCCGGGGCGGGCAGGAAAGATGAGGCACCGGGGGTGCCTCCCACCCCTTTCCTGCCCCCCCGGCACCGGGAGGAGCAGGAGGAAGACAGCTCCTGTCCGGGAGCCGGGTCTGACGGAGGCGGAGACACCCCCCCTCGGCAAAGGGAGCCCCCGGGGAGGGGCCAGCTGGTGCTGAAGCATCTAAGGCCACACCTACCCTCAGAGGTCGCACGGGACCGGGTGCTCCCACTCGGATGCCCAGGGGGTGGGTTTGCTCAGAAGTTCTGACCCAGAGGAGGCCACAGGGACGGAGTGTGGGAGGAGGTCCCTGACCCCTGAGGCCGGTCCGTGGGGACTAGGGCATCTGACCCGGCGGTTACCCCCGGAAATGGCACTGACCTCAGCACTCCAGCCACTTCCTGCTCAGGGACGTGGCTCTCCAGCCCCACGTGAAGCCGGACACTCCGCCAGCCGTGGTGACTTTCCGACTCGCCAGGTGGATGGAAAAATCCATCCTCTGCCCAGGGGTCAGTGAGCTGTGAGAGGCCGGCTGCCCGGGCGCCGCAGACCCGGGAGGTGGAATTCCTTCCCCGTGACGCGGGCGGCCTGGCGTCAGAGGCGTCACGGGGAAGGAGCCACCGTGGTCCCCACGGGAGGGGCCGGGGCCCACAGCCCAGCTGCCACGCAGGGGAGAGCCAACTGTTTAACGTCTCCTCTCATCGCCCCGGCTGGGGAGCGCAGAGAGGGGCCCACACTGCCCAGCGAGGGGGCTGCCCCTGAGGCAGCCAGCCAGGACCCGGGAGCGGCCTCCTGCAGGGACACTGCTAGCGGCAGGAGCCCAGGTCCGGGCCAGG